TTCTGCTAAATATGGAAATTCAGTTAAATAATAGTTCTCAATATGGAAATTTGGTTAAATAAAACTTAATAAAATAGAAATTCAGTTATAAATAAAAGTTCTGCTCAATATGAAAATTCGGTCAAATAAAAATTCCGTTGAATAAAAATTCACTTAAACGAAAGTTCAGCTAAATATGAAAATCCTGATAAATATATAAAAAAAACTCATCATAAATATTCAGTTAAATGTAAATTTGATTAAATCAAAATTTGTCCCTACAAAAATTTCGTAAAAAAAAATTTGCTTTCAAATTATATACCAAAAAGTAATTTATAAGAAATTCGTTCCAAACACGAAAAGAGATGGTTCTTGGAATATATATATACAGATACACAAGTATCGAGCAGCGGCAAACATCAAAGGATGATTGTTTTCTGTCTCTCTCTCTCTCTCTTTTTTTTGTTCAATTAATATAGCGAATCATTTAAAAAAAGTCACAATCGAAAAATGAACCTTGGCACCATTTTCTTTTTTTTTTTTTGCACCTAGGCATTTCGAGAGCCTCTTGAGATTTTTGCCTTGTCGACTGGCGCACATCCCTTTTGCTTGTGCCATTCTTAAAATAGAGTTTCTAAAGTGTCGGCTGGAGGTTGTTTCACGTACATATTATATGCATTAGAAATGTATGCCTAATGCATACACGTGCATTTCCCAAAGGTGTCTTATCTGGCTCCAGTTCCAGGTAAGCATCAGAAGCTTACTGTTAGTCTCGTTAAGTACCGTCCAACAATCTGTCTTTCTTCCCTCCCCCCTCTACTCGCCCCCCTTCTCTGACGACCTTCAACCTTCTCACAAAAAAAAAAAAATATTCCTCCCTAAATATCAGTCGGAAATAGTTTTTCAAATAAACACATCCGTGCGCGAACGTGAATAAAATTTCTTTTTTTTTGCATTATTATTATTATTATTATTAAATGTGTGCCTTTTATACTGGAAAATTGTTGATTTTTTCCTATAAAGATTTTTACTATTTGTGCGCGACTTTCAATTTTTCTACTTTGATGCAACACTTTTGGATTCTCTCTCACTAATAGCTATGATTTCTATTATTTACGGAAGGTTGGTTTTTTTTTCACAGATGAAATCACATATTTATATCATTGTCAGATTCGTGAAACAAAAAATTATATATTTTTGATAACCGCTTCAACAAACATTTGTGCTTTAAAATTGTTTTTCTAAACACTAAACGAACAATCGTTTTTTTCAAATTAAATACCTACAATTTTTTTTTTTTTTTTTTTAATATTTTAGTGAAATAAAAATTTGTCTCAAGGCTAAATAATCATTCATTTGTTTAAAAAAAAAAGTTATTTGAATAAAAAATATTTATTTGAATAATAAAAATTTGAATAGAAAAAAAATTTAACTGAATAAGGAATTTATTTGAATCAAAATAAAATTTATTTAAATAAAAATAAAAATTTTTTTTAAAAAATGTATTTGTATAAAAATGTACTAAAAATGAATTTTTATTTATTATACATATCCAGAAAAATAAATAATTGAAAAATAAAATTTATTTAAAGCAAATCAAAATATACTTGCGTCTTACACCTATAGATAAATAATATATTTGTCTCACAGCTTAATTTTATTCAAATAAATTTTTATTGGATTTAAATAATTTTTTTTTTTTTTTTGATTTAAATAAAAAAAATTATTTACGCTAAATAAATAGGCGTGAGAAAATATACGTTTATTCAACTCAAATATATTATATTTGGTTCAAAAAAAAAAAAAAAAAAATTCTCTACGTGCAGAGCCTAATAAATTTTTTATTTATTTTAATTAAAAAATTATATAAAAAAATTTATTTAGCAGAAATAAAATTTTATTTAGCGCAAAATAAAATTTATTTAAAAATAAATATTTGGCAAATATTACCTTTTCTCTGGATGTACTATTTTTTTTCTTCTCTCTAGTCGAAATATTTCTTTGATTCAGTGAAATTATTTTACTTTTTCATCAACTATATTTAAAATCACGAATCAAATTTTCCATTTAAATAAAAATTATATAAAAATTCTACTAAATGATAATTCGGCTAAAAAATTAAATTAAATTCACTTCAATTTCTAGGTTAAAATTTTGACCTAGAATATTTTAATATTACTTTCATGTCAGCAGCAAAATCTCGTTGAATTATAGAGGAGGCAGCAACAATACTCTGTGAGGATGAAAAAAAAAAATTCTCAAGTTCCTTGGATCTTGGCAAAGCTCGTGGATTTTTTGAAAGATTATTGCAGTCTTGTTTTTTCGTCCGGAATCTAAAATATAAAATCTGGCTCGTTTCCTCTATATCCACCTGTCGATTCCACTAATCCATATAGCAATATAAAGCACACAGAGAGAGAGAGAGAGAGGGGGGGAGTGGTCTTGCAGTCTCTGTTGTATCTTTTTATCAAAATCGCATATCGTACAGAAAGCGACCTCAAGTGGACCCTCGATTTTTCTTCAAGTTACTTTTCCTCTGTCCTTTTAATATATTTTCATATATAAAAAAAAATTCTGCTCCTTTTATACATATGTTTTCAACTCTATCGAAAAATCAAAACGATTTTCGTGAGAATGAATAAATACTTCAATATTGATAAGATTCTGGTTTGCATTCAAGATGATCCATTTTAGATGACACAGTTTTGACCGAAAAGAAGATGATCCTATAGTGCGATAAAAAATCTTTTCAGTATTTATCATTTTTTTTTTTTTGCTACAGTTTTCACTCGGGATTTTTTCTTCTTTTTTTCTTTTTTGTATCGCTAGGACAATTTTCGAACTGATTTTTATTGTACTGATAAATTCTCCTGTTTATTGTACTGATAAATTTTTTCAAATTTCTTGAAATTCTTGAAGTCTTCAAATACTTGAATTTTTGTTTATAAGATTGAAATTCTTGCAATATACACATTTCTTGAGATTCTCGTCAAAGAATGTTCCAAATTTCTTGTGCGACTTTTTTTTTTTTATTTGAATCAGTTTCACTTCACTATAATGATAAAATAAACTTTAAAAAATAATAAATAAAAAGTCTTTTTTATTTAAAAAAATAATTTAATTAGTAGAAACTTTAAATTCAATTACCTCAATTTTTTCCCAATAAAATGAACAAAATGTAATTTATTTTTTCCCAATTTTTTAATCTCTTTTTAGATTGATAAAACATCAAACTGTATTAAAATTCCATTCTTTTGGAATTTCAATTTCAATACGACAACTCATAAATTTTCACTGTCAAGTTTATGGCAGTTTATTACAATTTTCCAGCTGACATTTTTCATAGTAAAATTGATATTCTCCTACCCCTAGTCCATAAAATCTTATGTTCCAGATATATACAATATATAATAAATGGAAACTTATTGCGTAGTTTTATTTATACAAAAAAATAGTTCTGATTTCCATGTATCAGAAAAAGAACTTCCAAAATTTTCTTTTTTATTTTAATGTAATTCAAATTAATTTGAAAAAAATAAATCTCCCTTTTTCAATGATTATAACTTTTCGAAAATAGAGTAAAATCAATTGGAACATTTTTTTTTATCTCCATTGTTCCGAATGAATGTATACCATTTGAAAATTTAATTTTTCAATAATTTCAAACCGTTTAACTCTATACTAAGTTGGTAACATCACTTTTGTATGTACAAAATGCCCTAAAGGTTAATAAAAAATTTATACTAGCATCTGCGGTTTTCACTATAAAGTATATAGTAACAATGTATATATATATATATACAGAGTCAGGCATGACCTTGCAGGAAAATATTTCCCTGATGAATATCATTTTAAATATTTTACAATCACAAAAGCTGCATGTATATCCAACTCACGCGGTCTCTGCATAAATTTCATTGTTATAACAAATTTTTATTAAGTCACCATTTCTTATCTCAAAAAGGAGAACAAAAAAAACGACAACTTTAAAAGTACTTAAAATTAAAATAAAAAGCAGAAAAAAAGGATTTCCTCTCAATTTAATATAATGTCTACGAAAAAAATATAAAAAATATAAATATAAAATATTAAAGTAACGGAGGCAATATTAACGTTTGCTACGAAAGTGGTTGCTATGGAAACGGTTCCATAGTAACGGTTGCTACGAAAGTGGTTGCTATGGAAACGGTTACCATAGTAACGGTTGCCACAAAAGTGGGTACTATGGAAATGATTGCCATAGTAACGGTTGCTACGAAAGTGGTTGCTATGGTAACGGTTACTATGGAAACGGTTGCTATGGAAACAGTTGCTATGAAAACGGTTACTATAGAAACGGTTGCTATGGAAACGGTTACTATGGAAATAGTTTCTATGGAAACGATTGCCATAGTAACGGTTGCTACAAAAGTGGTTGCTATGGTAACGGTTACTATGGAAACGGTTGCTATGGAAACAGTTGCTATGGAAACGGTTGCTATGGAAACAGTTGCTATGGAAACGGATGCTATGGAAATGGTTGCTATGGAAACAGTTGCTATGGAAACAGTTGCTATGAAAACGGTTACTATAGAAACGGTTGCTATGGAAACGGTTACTATGGAAATAGTTTCTATGGAAACGATTGCCATAGTAACGGTTGCTACGAAAGTGGTTGCTATGGAAACGGTTACTATGGAAACGGTTACTATGGAAACGGTTGCTATGGAAACGGTTGCTATGGAAACAGTTGCTATGGAGACAGTTGCTATGGAAACAGTTGCTATGGAAACAGTTGCTATGGAAACAGTTGCTATGAAAACGGTTACTATAGAAACGGTTGCTATGGAAACAGTTACTATGGAAACGGTTGCTATGGAAACCTTAAAAATAGAATAAAATTCATAAATTATTTTTAATAAATTTTCCTATAAGATAATTTTGAATTTTTTTTTTTTTAACAATTAATATTTTTTTGGGGGACATTTTTGTTCCTGTATATTAATTTAAAATTAATAAAAGTAAATTTTTTTTCTTTACAGGGAGGGCGAGGGAGGAGGTGGAGGAGGTCGGGGTGCTTCTGGGGGTGGTGGGGGCGGGGGTGGGAGGCGGGCACCCAGCCTTCGTCTCGTGAACGGAAGAGCAACAACGGGAGTAGGTTTACACACGAGCAGTACAGAGTCTGTTCGTTCACCCCATCACCATCTTGGTCATCTTAATAACAATAATAATAACAACTTTCATAATTCCACTAATAATCATCCGCGACTGAATAAGGATGATAGCATCAAAATTAGCATCGAAAACACCAATACCTGCACCGATAGTCTCGTCACTGCTTTAGACGACGAGACTCTTCTTATTACTGACTTCCTTGCCGATACAAGTAAGTATATATTCCCTATACTCTATATTGCTATAATTAATCATATTCATTCAAATTCATAATTAATTAAATCAAATTTTATTTAATTAATTAAAACGAATTTTTTTAAGTCTTCAAAACATTTTTTAAACAAAAATCGAATTTTGTTAATTATGAGTGAAAAAGAAAAAACTGCCATGAGTATTTGGTATTTTCTACCATACTGCTGATGTAATGTTTCATAATTTTGAAAAAGTATTATATTTTTTCATATCCAATACATGATTCTAAAAACAAAATTCTCAATTTTGAGAACAAAAAAGAAAACTATTTTCAAAAAGAACAAAGAAAAAATAGAAAACACAAATTTATCGAGAAATGTTAAAAGTTAATGGACGTGAAAAATTTCCCCTGTTAAATAAAATTCGAGCAGAAAGTGTGTCAGCATCAAAAGTTAACGATCTATAAAAATTTACGTCTGATAAAATTTCAAATTTTAGCACTTGACAAATTTTTACACATTTCTAACGATGAATTTTGTTTTTTTTTTTTGGAAAACACTTTTTTTTTGCATTAATCTCGAAAAAAAAGGGCAACTTAAAAGATTCTTGGAAAAATAAAATGAAAAAATTCGAAATCGGTAAAAAATCGAAACTGAATCAATATTATATAATAAGAAAATAATTTAAAAATAAAATTATAAATAAAAATTATTTTTATAACGAAAATAATCTTTTAAGAATTATAAATAAATATTATTTACTAATTATTTAATAAATAATTATATGATAAAAAAATAAATTTTTTCTTCAATGTAACAAGAAAAGGTAATCAAAAAAAAAAAAAAAATTATGAAAAAAAAATTTTTAAATCCTACTATAGAAATAGAAAATTAAATTTAGATGTAAACTAAAAGTTTATTGCCTTGAAATAATATGCGAAGATCAGTTATTTTATTATTATTTTTTTTTTCATATACAGCCTGAATATTTTATTTAGTACGTTTCGCGTGTCTTCCGTTGGCAAAGCTTATAAAATCGACCCCGCTAAAATTGCACCAATCCACAGCAATAATCGAGAAAATGTGGAAGCTAACAATAATGATACTGAATGTAACGTAATTATTATTGTGTATACATCGATTATGTTAACGATACGTACTTCCACGAAACACCCGCATTGTTGTTAATTTTTTTTTTTATTCCAATGTATACCCAATTGATTGCAAATAATCTGACTTTTATTATTAATATTTTTATTATTATTATTAAAGTTATTAATTTAAAAAAATTTGATCACAAAATTTTGGTATAAAAATAAAACAAAAATTTGTTATTAATATTGTATAATTAAAAAACTAGTTTGTTCAGAATATTTTTATTATACTAAGGGAAAAGTTTTCTTTAAACTAAATACAACATTTTTGTTGTATTAGCACAATTTTTTTGTTATTTCAAACAAAATTTGTTTGAATCAAATAAATATTTATTTTGATCTAAATAAATTTATTAATATTAAATATTTATTTATTTATATTAATTTATTTAAATAAATTTTTCGAATAAAGAAAACTTGATTTACTTGATTCAACCAAAATTTGGTTTTTTGAAACAACAATTTAAATAAATAAATTATAAATATTATTATTATATATTAATGTAAATAGAAAAAAAAATTTCATTGCGATTTTCTTAATATATGAAAAAATTAATATTTTTCCGCAATTAAAATTAAATTAGAAAATGAAAAATTTCTTTGCAAATTATTGCAAGGTCTGTGTTATCTGACGTCAAGTTTTATTTAAACCTCATAAAATCTTTATTCAACTTCTTAGAACACTTTTAGTATATTTATAACGATAAGAAATGATTGGCTAATGTATATATGTACATACTTTCGTTTCAATAATACCCATCACTCTCTCTCTCTCTTTCTTTATATATTTCCATTAGACAAATGATCAAAAACAATTTTTAACACTCGAATTTGACATTATTTTATTTTTGAAACTATCAACTTTCAAAAACAAATTACTGATATTTAATTAAATTTTTTTTAGTATTTTTTTTATGAAATATTATATAGTCTCTCGAAACATTATTATTATGATTGATTAATTAATCATACGTCAAAGATGAATTTTCGATCACATTCTAAACTTTGCTGATGCAGTTAATAGATTTGGCTCAAAATCATCTCGAAAGCTTTGATTAACACTTTTTCAAAAATGTCACACATCAATTTATAATTTATAATTTATAATTTATAATTAACAATTGAAAATAAGATTAATGAATTTCAAAGAGTTATAAAATTAATATAAATATACAGTTGATTCATTATCACCATTAAAGGAATGCTCGTAAAATTTAATTGTCAATTCAAGCGTTATAATAGGACATTTCAATAAGTTGAATAATTACAATGTCCCCATCGATCGTGCCTCAATTATATCCTATACTCTCAACAATTGTTTTTTAATTGTACAAATAATTTTTAAAATCAGTAAAAAAAAAGGAAATATTTTTTATTTTGTAAATAAAAAATTGTTAAAAAAAAGAATTTTTTTGCCTAACAAAATGATGAAAATATTTTGTGCTCAAACTTTTTTTTCAGATTGTTTTCGAGATTCGCAATATAAAAGCTTTTGTACCATTTTAGCGCTCAAACATATATATGTATATCTACAGAAAGAAGTTTTTTACTTTGTAGACTAAAATGCTCGACAAAAGGCTATATTCTTTGATCCCCCAACAGAATTGCAAAAGTAATACCGCAACACAGATTCGTTCAGTAATTTACGACTCATATGCAGTTCTCATGAGCCTCGACTTTAAACCGAAAAATAATTTTCATAATATAAAATTAAACTAAATAATTACAATTAAAATTTTCTATATTCAATTATTTTTTCCCAATTAGAAATATATAATAATAAAATGCTTGGTCTGTCCTTCTGTCCTAACTTGAAGTTGGCCTTTTCTGATTTCACGTGTTTTTTTTTTTGAATAGTACAAGATAGTAATTTAAAAAAATTTATTTTTAAAAATTAATTTTTAAGATACCAGGGGCCAACGAATACCTATTAAATATTAATTATAAAAATCCAGGCCTCGAATCAACTTAAGACACAAAAAGTCGTTTCAGTCGATTTATATTCAAAAAAAAAGTGGATTTGTTTTTTATTTTAACAAAAATATTTTACAGATTTTTAAATAAAAAATTTTTTTTTAATAATAATAATCCTTTTCGAAGGGTTAAAGTTGAAATTTTTAGAAATAATTAAATTTCAAAAGATATTGTTAATTTTCAAACAATTATTAAATTTTACAGAACTAAAAATAATTTATCAAACAATTTTTGGGAAAATATTTTTTAAATTTAATTGAATTTTCAAAGATTTAAAATTGAGATTTTTGAAATTAATTGAAACTTTAAGTGTTTTGTAATTAAAATTTTAGATGATTTCACTAAAAATTTATTAGAAAATGCGGACAAAATACAAAAATTTAAAAATCATTTTTAATTGAAAAATGGTTTCAGATAATTGAATTTTCAAAGAATATTATTAAAATAGTTAAAAATAATTGAATTTCCTTAGAGTTATAATCGAAATTATTAAATTTCAAAAAAAAAAAAAAATTTCGATGGAAAATTTTAGAAATAATTAAATTTTAGATGCTTTAAATTCAAATTATTGAAAATTCAATTAATTTTGAATTCAAATTATTGAAAATTCAATTAATTTTGAATTCAAATTTTTGAGAATAATGAATTTTTATTTGATTTTAAATTTGGAAAATAATTGAATTGTAGTTCATTTTGAATTAAAAATTTTTGGAAATAATTGAATTTTAATTGAAATTTGGATAATAATTTAATTTAAGTTCATGTTTGATTGAAAATTTTAATAATTAATTTTAAATAGAAATTTTAGAAAATAATCGAATTTTATTTCATTTTAAATTGAAAACTTGGTAAATAATTAAATTTTAAATTGAAAATTTTGGATAATTATTGGATTTTTAATTGATTTTGAATTAAAATTTCGGGTAATAATTGAATTTTAGTTTATTTTGAATTGAAATTTTGAAAAAAATAATTCAATTTTATTGTGATATTTTTTTTTTTAAATTATAAACAATTGTTAAATTTCATAAAAATTTTAATTGAAAAATAATTTTGATATAATTGAATTTGTGATGTATTTCATTAAAATTATTAAAAATAATTAATTTAGTGAAAAATCATTTTAGTTCAAAATTTGTTAAATAATTGATACATTTAAAATGTAATAATATTCTAATAAATTAAATTATTATTGATAATATTAATCTTTAATTTCTTTATAACAAACAATGAAATACTCAATTTGGCGCGCTTGCGCGCGTTTAATTTTGCTAGTATTTTATAAAATATCTAGAAATCAAAAAATTTTTTTATCGATGAATTTGGAAAAAAATACAATTAGTTTGAATCGGAAATGTATCGGAATGATGAAATTAATAATATTTGAGTTTATTCGAAAATTATTTTTAAATTTTGATTTTTTTTGCAGGCAACGACATGAATTACAAAGGAAGTGGTAAAGTCCATTTCGGGGTGGACGATGTCTCCCTGTATGGCACACCGAAGGAGGAATTGGGCCCGGGACTTCCGGGTCAGGAAGTCAAACAGAGCTTCCTTAAAAATCAATTACAGGCCCTATTCCAACCGACGGATAATAAACTTGCCATGAAACTATTCGGCAGTAAGAAAGCTCTTATGAAAGAAAGGATCAGGCAAAAGGCTGCAGGTCACTGGGTTATACATCCTTGCTCTAGTTTTCGGTGAGTCCGCATTTTTACATCCCCCTCCCCCCCCCCCATTTTTTATATATTGTTTTGTTTACCAAAAACGAATTATTCAAAATAAATTTCATAAAATTATCCTTTTTCACTATTAAAAAATTTCTGAATATTTTTTTCTCAGAGATATAAATAATAAAACTATTGTAACAAACTTTACTAATTGGATCGAAAGAAGAAATCGTAATAAAAGTACATAAAGACAGTCTCTTTTAGAATTCATAACTTTTCTTATAAAGAAAAAAAAAAAAAAAAAAAAAAAACTTTTCTATTAGAAAAAGTTGCAAATATAAAATCTTTCATGAAAACTAATAATTGGATTTCAAATTCAAAACAAAATTGAGATACAATTTTTTTTTTTTTCTAATAAAACTTCTATTAATTTTTTTTTTTTTTTACTAATCTTCGAATTTTGAAAAAGGGAAAGAAATTTTTTTTTTGCAATTTTCGTGAATAAAAAGACGCGCGTGTTAAATAGAGGATAAACTGTATCGTTGAGAGGTTGAATCGGACTTAAACGGTCGATCGTATCAAATGACCGGAATTGCCTGGGTAGCGCGCACGCCGCTTCATATAACGCGCAAAGCACTATCCACTCGCTCTTTGACGTTATATACAATTGGCTAAAATTGCCAGCAACTTCCTGCCAGAATCTTTTACTAATTAGCAACAGCTTCTAAAAGTACAATTGGAAACTGCCTCATTTCCTCTCACCTTACCACCATAACCTACGAGATACTTGTCAATTATATATAAAATTCCCTACAATTTTCATAAATGATTTTTTTTTTATGTTATTAACAAATTCCTTCATAATTTCAAATTTTTCCCCCTTCCATTTATATTTCCTTGAATGAAATAATTTTTATTTGAGTCAATTAAATTTTATTTCATTCAAATACAAAAATTATTGTTCTCAATTCATTTTATTTGATTTAAATAAAAAAAAATTTCGATTCAAATAAAAATTGTTCGATTTAAATTAAAATCATTCGAATGAAATGAAAATTATTCGAATGAAATGAAAATTATTCGAATGAAATAAAAATTACTCGATAGCAATAAAAATTATTTGAGTCAATTAAATTTAATTTATTTCAAATTGAGAAATAATTATTGATTTTAAAAAGCAATTTATTGGATTCAAATTAAAATTATTTTGATACAAATATAAATAATACCAATACAAACAATTTTTATTTCAATCAAACTGTATTTAAAATAATAATTTCTGTATTTGAAACGCAAATAAATATTTATTTGATCAAAGTAATTAATTATTTGAATAAAAAAAAAAAAAATTTGTTTTTTTCAAAATTTAAATAAAAAATTAACATTTTTACTAAATTATTACTATTATATTATTTATCATTACTGTAAATCATATTTTTGTGTTTTATTTATATTTTTACTAGTTCCTAACTCATTGTTATTTATATTTAAATTAAAAAATTATTACTTATAATTTTTTTTTAATGTCCCGGGTTAAACTACTAAAAAAAAAATATATAATTTTTCTAAAATATTTCATTCCCTCTTGGGAAAATGTTAAAAAATTTTTTATGAGATTACTATATATACATATCCGCAAAATGGACCATAATGTACTTTTAAATTGCGAAAAAAAACGTCTTTATTAGTATGATCCAACGTGTGCCTTCCCTCATATATTGGAAAATGCATAAAGCGATAAAGTTCACAGAAAAGGTCCTTTGATCTTAAGTGCCTTTTTTGTAGATTATCGACTTTTTAAACCAGTACCAAAGAGGGGAAAAATAAATTTATAATCTACAAAATTAAAAAAAAAAAAATTTCACGTAACGAGGAATCATTTTAATTATTCGGTTGTCATTATTTAAAAAATTATTTATATTACATTCCCGAATAATAATTACTTACAATAATTTAAAGTAAATCATAATAATTTACAGTAAATTATTCACAATTTACAATAAATTATTTACAATTTATAATAAATTATTTACAATTTACAATAAATTATTTACAATTTACAATAAATTATTTTTAAACAAAAAAGAAGAGTAAAATTTTTTTTCTCAAAAAAGTAATTGCTTTTGTTGATAGTAAATAAATTCTAATTATTTCGTATATTAATTGAAATACGTAAATAACTAATATAAAATTTTCTATTTGTAATTAAATTATGTTTAAAATGACTTTTTTCGTTAGCCGCAATAAAATTTATGCTTCATTAAATAAGGAAAAAATAAATATATAACCTTACATCAATGTTATAATCTTATTACAATCCTTGGCATATATATCATTGCGTTTTTGATATTTAAATATTGTTTCATCCATAACAATATAAAAATCAGTTAATTTTGTATTAAAGGTCACATTTTATTTAATATATATTTCCCTCGGAATTTTTTTTTTCTTCTTTTTTAAAGAAAACTTCCAAGGAAAATAAACAAATTATTTTCACTATTTATTATTCACATTAATAATTGTTTTTTTTTTTTAATTTGAAAATTCATTTAATAATTAATTTTATCATTCAATTATTACTTACGAATATGTCGAGTAAAAGTAAATTTCTTTTTTCTTCAACTCACCTCTGTAACAAAAAAAAAAAAAGTATTTAAAATTAATATTTTTATATAAAAAAAAAAATAAAAATAATTTAATAATTATTAATATTTAAATAATTAAATAATAATTATTATTATTTTTCTAAATTAATTATTTCCAAACAGAAAAAAAATCATTTCTTTTCTAAAAAATTATTTTTTTTCTTCGTTGAATATTAATTTCGCTGAACAATTCTATATATAAGGAATATATTGACTTCCTAGTTCACATGTAGGTGAAATTGTGACATTATTAGGTTACTGGTCGAGTTATCCAATTTTCGAAAACTCTCATTGATATAATGGTCATGATATGTTGGGGTATGATCTGGTCCCTAGTAAATGATCCACGTGTCAAAATTGTTTGCATAGTTCCTTCTCTCTGGTCTACTCTCTGTATAACGAGTGTGAATATATATATATATATATATATATATATATATATATATATATATATATTCTGGAACATCGGACTCTCGAGAGATCCCACACCTTCTACTTTCATATATATATATATATATATATATATATATGCTTAACATCAATTCAATTATGACAAATATGACCGAACCAACACAATTTAACATCCCTCGTGTTCAGACGCGATAAATTATCGTCAAACTGTGCCAACTATTTCGACGACATATTTAATAAAATATTTTTAAAAAATTTCCACCTCATTATTATATTTGTAAATTTATATATAAATTAAGAATCATAATTAAATTCTCCATTTTTTTAAAGCAAATATCACTGAGAAAAATGTTTAGTCAGAGCAACCAAAATTTGGTTGTGCCAACAAAAAAATTTTGTCGGTATTTAAGCAACCAAACTCTTTGTTTGAGTTAACCAAAGAATTTAGTTGAGTGTTTTTTGTTGGCATAACAAAAATGTTTGGTTAGCTCAACCAAATTTTTTTTGTTAGGTCAACAAAAATGTTTGGTTGCTCAAACAAACAGTTTTATTTGTAAAATTAAAAAAATTTATTTTAACCTTATTTCTTTTCCTTTTTTATTTATTTCACTATTTATTTATTATCAATTTGACATTGAATTTATTTTTATCTCCGCCTGTGATTGAACCTGTTTTAAAACTAAATGTCGGGAGTTCTGACCACTGGACTACACTGAAAAAAAAAAATTTATTTGATTCAAATACCGGTGTATTTGGTTATTATCAAATAAATATTTACTTGAATCAAATATTATATATAAGATTTAAATAAGAAATATTTGATTCAAGTAAATATTTATTTGATAATAACCAAATACACCGGTATTTGAACCAAATAAATTTTTTTTTCAGTGTACCCATCCTTGTGAGAAATTTAAACTAAATGTTTTCTTAAGCTATAAGCTGAGAGCGAATCAAATTATTTGGTTGTCGCTACCAAATTTTTGGTTAGGACAACAAACGATCATTTGGTTTTTTAGACCAAACTATTTTGTTGTGTTAACCAAATGATTTTGTTGTCGTAACCAAATTTTGGTTGGAATTTAAAAATGTTCAATCAAATAATTTGGTTGGCCTAACCAAATGTTTGTTTGAGATAACTTTACGACTTTGTTTCAGCCAACTAAAATTTGGTTACAAGAACCAAAATTGCCTAACCAAACAATTTTGTTGCAAACACTAAATTTTTTTTCTCCAGTGTAAAAAAATTTATGCACAAAAAAAATGAATTAATATTAAAAAAAATTTAATTTCCCAACTTTGAATTTTTATACAAACAAAAAGAATTTGTTACAATAAACCAGATTTAGTTCTAAATCGAAGGAAAAAATAATAAAAAAATAAAATTTTTTTTCGTAAAAAAAATAATGAAAACACTTATTATTATAAACCCTAAATTGTGGTATAACATAAAAAAGGAAGCGAGGGAAAAACTAATTTCATTAAATTAAAAATACAAAAAAAAAAAAAAATGTTGCCAATCAGAGTAAATGTCATCTTTGAAGCAAGAATTATTTTATGAGTCGAATATTAAAAAAAAAGCGCCAATTAACGCGAAATAGCTTGAGGAGGTTTTTTTTTAGCTCGATAGGATTATTCTTGACCCGGTATAACGTGAAACGTAAACCACAAGGTAACGGACAATAGGCTTCGCTTCAGCGGTACTTATCGATCGTATCCTTTTCCGCATCGAGGCCCAGACACTAAAGAAAAAGAGAGAGAGAGGGGGAGGACGGGAAAAAGATTGCATTTTACTTCTATATATACAATCATTGCTTATGCATCTATATTCCTGCGCGGATATTGGTCAATCGACCAGACAATAATTCAAAACAGTTCAATGAAATTGTTTCAATGTAATTTTAAATATATTTCAATAATTAATCATTATAGATGCAATAATCTATGTGCATTCACCTGTCGAGCTTTTTTCAA